TAGATGATGGTTCAGAACATCACAGATGTAATGTGGAGTTCTTCGCGTCCTTTAGGGTGAACTGTCGAAAAAATCTTCACAGGAAGGGTTCGATTTTGTATATGAAATAGAGCAACTTTTGCAACTTCTACAGCTGAGGGATCTTTTCCATCAGTGAGGCGTCTGAAGTCAAATCTGAGATCTACGATGACTCAGGAGCGACTGAACAACGTCTTGTTATTGCATACGCACAAGCACATTGCAGATGAACTGTTGTTGAATGACATTGCCAAAGAGTTTGTAGCGCCATATGACAGAAGACAAAGCTACTTTGGATCATTTCCCCAAAACAAGGTTCACAGTGAAAAGCAATAATATATGACAACTGAACTCAGTACCAGTCTCGTTCGCCAAATAGATATAACAATTTCGTGTGTCTTAACGAGTCATCTTTTATCATTACCTATACGGCATTTATTGATTTTGAGGCTATTTGACGGGTGACTATTAAGACTTTGTGCCATGCGAATTCTTGCTGAATTCCACAAATTAATGTGTGTAAAATATGAATGAGAAATATACAGAATGCTCCACATGGTACTTGTGATTACAGAGACATGTATGTCATTACCAATAATTTCAGCCGTCATCCCCTGACAAACAACCCACCCCCGCTCTCACGGTTTGAAATGTTTGCCCCCAACAAAACAAAACAACAACAACAAAACAAAACAAAACAAAACAAACAACAAAAAAACAACAACAACAAAAACAACAACAAAACACCAAAAAACAAGCCCCAACTCCGGGCCAACTAATTAAGTCTGCCCGAACCTGACCAACCATTTCATGGCATCTACCCCCACACGTGAGGAGAAATGAGGTTGCATGATTTACGCACATGCGTCCTTGTCTTATTCCTAAACAGCGAACACCAGGCAGCGCAACAAGCACAATTTCCACAACACCATGGAAGCGGTCCAAATGCCTTAGGTTTATCTTAGCGAGATGCGTCTGTATGAATGAAACCGCGGTTAGGTCGACCGTGAGTGTACACGTGACGAACAAAGGATGGAAGACTCGTCAGGTTAAATACCTACAGATTGGGTTTGGAGCAGACAAACATACACTGACATTGAGCGTATGGGGTTAATGGCGTCCTCTTCTTTTAAGGCAAACATGTAGTAATGTGGTCGGTGGCGGCCCCATCCTACAAACCCAGGTGGATGTTATGCTATTCGTTTCACACTTATCTCTGGGGTCGCCTTTGATGACTGAAAATAGATGGACCTGCTTCAACCAATCACATAATGTCGTTAACGGAGTCTCTTATCTAATCCTCATGTCGTGAACGTGTTTTGTCAACGTAACTTGAAGATAAACTAAAAATAAACTTAATTCTGTGTTGTAAGAAATTCGTTATCACCTGGCCGACTTCATCATCTCTTCACGTGATGACTGTGGACTGACTGATGGCATAAAGTGAGTGAGTATGGTTTTACACCGCTTTTGGCAATATTCCAGCAATATAACGGCGGGGGACACCAGAAATGGGCTTCACATATTGTACCCATGTGTGGAATCGAACTCGGGTGTTCAGCGTGACGAGCGAACGCTAGGCTACCCCACCGCAGTAAGGAATCAGTTCGTTCCCAATAAAGGACCAACTAACAAAACTGAAAACTGTACTTCTTAATTCAATAACTTGAACGTCTTCTGCAGTAAAAGGCTTACATACTGAAAATCAGCCCAATGCCTGAAAAAAGGTTTGTTTGACTTTAAAGGTGTTCTAGTTACTACTGGAAGTGTTCAGTGACAAGTATCGGAAAGAGTTCCTTCCGTTCCCCCAACCCTAAACCTAACCCTATCTTAAATTTGGGACTTTTAGTAATTTTTGTGAGTTCTCTAGTAATTGTTGTGTTAAGTTTTGTTAATAATTTTAGTATATATTAATTCATAAATATTATTTGGGATGGGGGAACGGGAAGAACTCTTACCCAAGTATCTTTATAAGGTGCAACTACATCACTTTTAACAAAATATTAGCACATGCGAGACATTCTATCTCCTTTGAAGCATTTTAAGTTTCAAAATGTCACAATACATAAATAAATATAGGTATATTTATTCCCCAAAATGTCAGTTCCAGACGGAACAGAATGGGCATTGTTGCCATGAAACAGCCATACTGTAACTTGCTGTAAAATATTATTAGTTGACTTTTATAAGTAAAAGAAAGTTGTAGATAACAAAGAAAGACATGATGAACTCACAAGTGGGTGTATAGCTCAGCAAAAGATCAATGTGCAAATGTCAATGAATCCTTGAACAAGTGTGTAAGATTTGGCTCAACTGTGTACCAGGCATACCACAACAAATAATTTGTTGCACTTGCAAATTCAGTCAGATGTAAGGGCTTGCAGACACAGACCAGATCCAAGCCCTTGCACTTTCAACAAGATCCAAGGACTTGCACCTCTAATCACATCCAGGTTCAACAGGTCCAGTCAGATCAAGGTTTAACATGAATCAGATCCACGTTTCGATGGTCTGGTCAGATCAAGGTTTAACATGAATCAGATCCACGTTTCGATGGTCCGGTCAGATCAAGGTTTAACATGAATCAGATCCACGTTTCGATGGTCCGGTCAGATCAAGGTTTAACATGAATCAGATCCACGTTCGATGGTCCGGTCAGATCAAGGTTTAACATGAATCAGATCCACGTTTCGATGGTCCGGTCAGATCAAGGTTTAACATGAATCAGATCCACGTTTCGATGGCCGGTCAGATCAAGGTTTAACATGAATCAGATCCACGTTTCGATGGTCCGGTCAGATCAAGGTTTAACATGAATCAGATCCACGCTTCGATGGTCCGTCAGATCAAGGTTTTACATGAATCAGATCCACGCTTCGGCTGGTCCGGTCAGATCAAGGTTTAACATGAATCAGATCCACGCTTCGATGGTCCGTCAGATCAAGGTTTAACATGAATCAGATCCACGTTTCGATGGTCCGGTCAGATCAAGGTTTAACATGAATCAGATCCACGCTTTGATGGTCCGTTAGATCAAGGTTTAACATGAATCAGATCCACGCTCCGGCATGGTCCGTCAGATCAAGGTTTAACATGAATCAGATCCACGCGTTCGATGGTCCAGTCAGATCAAGGTTTAACATGAATCAGATCCACGTTTCGATGGTCCGGTCAGATCAAGGTTTAACATGAATCAGATCCACGTTTCGATGGTCCGGTCAGATCAAGGTTTAACATGAATCAGATCCACATTTCGATGGTCCGGTCAGATCAAGGTTTAACATGAATCAGATCCACGCTTTACGATGGTCCGTCAGATCAAGGTTTAACATGAATCAGATCCACGTTTCGATGGTCCGGTCAGATCAAGGTTTAACATGAATCAGATCCACGTTTCGATGGTCCGGTCAGATCAAGGTTTAACATGAATCAGATCCACGTTTCGATGGTCCGGTCAGATCAAGGTTTAACATGAATCAGATCCACGTTTCACAGGTCCGGTCAGATCAAGGTTTTACAGCTTGAATCAGATCCACGTTTTGCAGGTCCAATCAGATCAATGGTTCTACAGCTTGAATCAGATCCACGTTTTCGCAGGTCCAATCAGATCAAAGTTTTACAATCCAACCCCCAGTTTTGCAGCTTCAATCAGAGTGCTTGACGTACAAATGGTTAGATGGATAGTCAAGTGTAATGAGTGAAAGTGACATAAATCTGTTGTACGTCCAATCAGATCAAGGGATTACAGTTTGAATCAGATCCACGTTTTCGCAGGTCCAATCAGATCAAAGTTTTACAATCCAACCCCCAGCTTTGCAGCTTCAATCAGAGTGCTTGACGTACAAATGTTTAGATGGATAGTCAAGTGTAATGAGTGAAAGTGCCATAAATCTGTTGTTTTGGTTGTTGGATTGTTGTTATACGTCACACTGTACTGTGAGCAACAACCCAGATCATTGTGATATGATGCAGGGATGAGAATGAAGTTTTGAGAAAACAAGCCGGGGGTTTAGCATCTATCGGATTTAGACGATTCACAAAAATGACCCTTGGCCTTATGAAATTCCCGGAATTCTGCGGAAAATTCTCATCCCTGTACGATGGCATGCAATCAGTCCGATTGGACACCTCCTACCACAAGCACATGTTGCTTGGGATTAGTTCCTGGCCTGAATACACCTCCTACCACAAGCACATGTTGCTTGGGATCAGTTCTGGCCTGAATACACCTCCTACCACAAGCACATGTTGCTTGGGATCAGTTCCTGGCCTGAATACACCTCCTACCACAAGCACATGTTGCTTGAGATCAGTTCCTGGCCTGAATACACCTCCTACCACAAGCACATGTTGCTTGGGATTAGTTCCTGGCCTGAATACACCTCCTACCACAAGCACATGTTGCTTGAGATCAGTTCCTGGCCTGAATACACCTCCTACCACAAGCACATGTTGCTTGGGATTAGTTCCTGGCCTGAATACACCTCCTACCACAAGCACATGTTGCTTGGGATCAGTTCCTGGCCTGAATACACCTCCTACCACAAGCACATGTTGCTTGGGATCAGTTCCTGGCCTGAATACACCTCCTACCACAAGCACATGTTGCTTGGGATTAGTTCCTGGCCTGAATACACCTCCTACCACAAGCACATGTTGCTTGGGATTAGTTCCTGGCCTGAATACACCTCCTACCACAAGCACATGTTGCTTGGGATCAGTTCCTGGCCTGAATACACCTCCTACCACAAGCACATGTTGCTTGGGATCAGTTCCTGGCCTGTATTTCCACAGGGGCAAACTCACTCGACCACACTTTGCAGGTCTGGGCACAGGTCCATCTAACCTTGATGTAATGTGCCACACTTTGCAAGTGGGTTCAACAAAAATGGCGATGTCCAAATCAACTACATGACCAGGACTGTGACCTGGTCGAGGGTACCCTGTGTCTACTGCTGTTGAATTAAGGAAGAGGCGCAGCAAATGTTTCAAATAGTTTATTTCATTAAGAAATATTCTTTGTGTTCATTTTCTTTATATATTCCCACCCTAACAAAGGAAAAGAAGATCAGTATTCTGAACTAACTGATGAAGAAAATCATAGTAGTTTGGATTTGATTTCCAGTTTGACATAGCATACAGTCAGGTTTACCTTTCAAAGTATTAAACCTGTTACTATTACTTTGTAGTAGATATTACATCTGTTACAATTACCTTCCCAAGACACATAACAGCCCACATCACATGGAAGTAAGGTGGACTGAGTTGACAAGTAGAAATATACAATAACATGATCACAACAACTTTTCTTTTTAACAATTATGTGACAAAGTTTCTTTTCACTATTCCATTGGAGTTTTTTAAATGGTCTTACTATTATCATGACTCCTAAACAAGCGCAGCACTGACACTTATTATAATGGTTTACAATCACTTGTTCAGCATTCATCCTCAGACAATCCAATGTACAATAAATGTCTTTAAGCTGTCTTCAAACTGTAAAGATGGCAAGTCCTTTCTCCTTGCATACTTAAATATCCCAAACAAGACCAAGCAAGGCAAACGACAGTCCCAGGGTGGACGGCATTGTAGATCAGCATGCCATCTTACTTGTCTACATTTTCTGGAAAATAGAAAGAGAAGTAAGACATAAAACACAACTCTGCTTAAGAGACAAATCAAGATTGATTTTCCAAAATATTTTACAGCTATGATCCAAATGTTTAAACGGTAAAAGTTTTCAATATCAGAGAGTGAGTTTAGTTCTAAGCCACTTTTAGCAATATAACAGCAATATCACTGCGTGGAAACCAGAAATGGGCTTCACACCTCATATCCACATGGGAATCGAACCAAGGTCTTCGGCATGAGAAGCCAAAGCTTTAACCACGAGGCTACGCCACAACCCCTTTCAATATCAAATGACCTAGACTGAAAAAAGTCACCTGAATGTCCTTCAAAAAAAACCTGCTGCAAAAAATGGAAGAAGCGGGAAACACCATTCACTCATCCACTGCTTAAATTCACCTATAATAGTACTGACATAGCCCAAACTGGGGACAATTCACTTCACTGTGTTTGTGTGCTGCAGTCTTACCATCAGATTCACTCTCTTCTTCATCATCAGATGAATCTTCATCATCATCTTCATCAGATTCAAATGTGTTGTCTGGTATATCATAGATTCGAATCACAGGCTGAAAGAAGGAAAGTCCAAAATAGTTTGGTTGGTTATTATACTTCACCTTGCATCCATCTGTACAATGGAGGCCTGTAAATAATTATGTCATCCTGTATAGATTGAACAAAATGATGTTACATCCCACCATATGGGTTAAACGTCAGAACATTACCTACAACACACTAAAAAAAAGTGGTAAGAAAATCTCAATAGTGACATAAGAGTTGTCTCCCATTATATAACCCAGTGTTGGCAGCCTAAGATGCAAGCAAAGTGAATGCAAGGTTCATTTAAAGTTTTATGCTGCACTCAGCAATATTCCAGCTATATGGCAGTGGTCTGTAAATAATCGAGTCTGGATCAGACAATCCAGTGATCAACATCATGAGCATTGATCTACACAACTGGGAACCAACAACATGTGTAACCAAGTCAGCGAGTCTGACCACCCGATCCTGTTGGTCACCTCTTACAACAAGCATGGGTTACTGAAGACATGGGTTCTAACCCGGATCTTCATGGGTTGGTTCATTTAAAGCTGAGCAATATATAAGTGGTAATATTTCACTTTGGTAAAGGGATAAACACAGAGCTGGTAAAACAGCATAATTTAATGATAGTTGGATTCAAACCCAGAGTAACATACATGTGAATTTAAACCTTAAAATGAGCTTTCGGTTTTAAAAAAGTATTTCCTTTCAGAATTCATGCTACTCCAAATTTATGCCCAGATTTCCATGGCATACTCACAGAATCCAATAACAGAAAGCCATGATTCATATATTTGGACCGTTGACTATTTGAACACAACAAGCTCTGAATTACGCTGACATTTACACTGCAAATTTAAGCTGACACTTTGCACAAAAGAGCTTAACTCCTTCATCCTCGTGTGCAGTGACAGAATACAAACGGTGGCAGCAAAAACTTTATGCATTCTGTTCCACTTGACAATCCAATTATACTGTCTTTTAAGCTGGTAATGTGGCACTGTGTAACAAATATCCTCGTCACAAACCCTAACAGATGTACCAAACCTTTTCAGTTACATTAGTGATTTGGCACAGATGGTAGTATTTGTTGTATGTCGGACAACATGACCAAGAAAGCAGTGAATGAATGATATCAGAGCAATCATTGTTTTTCAGATTACACTGGACTGTGATTGGCCACTGAAGTATTTAGGTTTGTCTTCTATCAAAGACACAAACTGTTTGTCTGGAGGCAGTAACAAAGAACACATCATGACTTAATCATGTTAATCAGTCAAATCAAGCCACTATCTATTGATAACAAGGGGCATAACTCTGAAAATTATGAATTGTCAACGCTGCATTTCAAAGGATATTATTACTCAAAGTATTATGGCATCTTAAGGTCCAACTTGATCATTTTTGTGGTGTTGCTTCACTTTCGAGCCCCAAAACTCAGGCTGGGAGGTAGAAAATATATACATCCAAGTTTACAAATGGAGAATACTAAACGAAATACTAATACTCCCGTGTAATACCATATGTTGTAAACATTAAAGGTACCTAGAAGTTGAATAATGGACTACACTCTTCCTCTAAATTGACCATCAACCTTCACATAATCATTCACTCTAATTTCATGAGCCATTTTGGTTGAACGATACTGCATCGTCTGCTTGATTGCTTTGTTTATTTTTTATATTTGCTCCTCTCAGACTTTTTTTATAGTTTATATTTGTCACTCACAGACCTTATTTCATTGTATAAAATTATGTACGCAGGTGTAGCTATGTAAAACAAATGTTTCAAATAAAATATCTGAAATATCGTCACTTCGAGAATGACAGCTGACATATTGTTTTGATCACGTTACTTGGGTCAGGTCACTGAGTGCAAATAGTTCCGGCAGCACGCGATGTTATTACACAATGTGTTATAACATTGCAAAATTATTAAACAGTGATATCTTCAACTGGTGAGTAATAAATAATGTATATGAGGGTTTGGAGGAATTGGGATTGAAACAGTTTAGGGTTACCTCTCTTCTGTCAGTCAAGGATCTGACATGATTTTTACATTTTGTAGTGTTTTCATACTTTTTAACATATATTCAGGTTATTTTGATTCTGACAGAAAAAAGTAACTGCTTTAATTATATTTTTCACATTATTTTGTAATAAGCGGACTTGCAAACCCAGTTTCACAGTCTAAAAATTAAGGGCCAAAAACCCATAGACATTTGGTCAATACATGTAGTACGAAGTGTTATGACTGAGCGGTAAAACAGTAGCAGCAGAGTGACTGTTCAATACGACGCCTTGCTTACTGAGAAACACCAGTAGCCTCCCATACCCTTAACAAGAACTCACCTTGTTGGGGTCCTTCATGATGAGGTATTTGCCTTCCTTCAGCTTCATACAGGTGTCGATGATACAGCGGAGGATACCCCAAGCGTTATCCATATTCAGGTTGATCTGGCTAGCAAACTCAATTGGCTTGAATTGCTGGGTTCCCAGAAGAACATGCTTCGCTGAATCCTTCAGTTGCAGTCTCGATACATAACTGAAATGAAAGGACTGGTGTTTAGATAGTTCTCCTTGGCACACGGATTAACTGACTGACTGACTGAGTTTTGGTTTTATGCCGCTTTTAGCAATATTCCAGCAACATCAGGAATAGGCACCAGAAATGGGCTTCACACATTGTACCCATGTGGGGATTTGAACCCAGGTCTTCAGCATGACGAGCCAACGCTTTAACCACTAGGCTACCCCACTGCCCCTACGGATTAACCTTGGCAATACATTCTTGCAGGAAACATGAACAAAATTCTGATTATTACACCTTCAGTCCCCAGCTGGGACCCAGATGATGGTCTCCTGATGCCAAAAATATCATTCCTTAATTTTAACCATCAATACTCAATTCAAAAGACCTATGTCCCATCACAAATTAACATTGCTAAATTGACCAATAATGGATTCAGACAAAAAATTATGAGCAACATTTCAAAAATATTGTGGGACACACTTGAAATGGGCTTCACATTCTGTACCAGTGGGGGTATTCGGTCCTTCTGTTTGACAAGCAAAGACTTTAACCACTACACCACTAAGCCACCCTACCCTCCAGGACCTACCACTACCAGAGCCCACTTGCACAAAATAATCTTAGCACTGTGGCTGTCGTAACTTGATGTTAGAGTTCGGACCCACATACATTAAAATTGTTTGTGCATGTGAGCCCAAGTGAAAGATGCTGGCAGGTACAGTAGTTATGAGTAACTCACCCAAACTTTAGCTGGTCTGACCCTGCCAGGAGGGCCGAGACTGTCCACTTGGCCAGCTTACAGCTGTTGTTTTTGAGCTCTGTGGCCAACACAGCACCCCGCTGGTTGTCCAACCTGCTCCGCCAATCCACTCCACCAGAGTACTGAAAGACAGGCAAGCATGTCAGTCAATCACATGGTTTCAAGTAGCTGAGGTAGTTATATTATATATCATGCAGTGCCAGAATGGGGGAGCATGAACGGTTAGTAGCTACACCGAAACATCCCTCATATTAATAATAAAGGTGTATATACCATAAAAGTCTCCCCGCTGTTTAAGCTGAAAATTCTGCTCGTTTTTATGATACAGCAACTGATTCTCAAATGACTGAGCACTGTTTTTGGTTGCTGTTAGTAACAAACTAACATGTGACATAATGGCTGTATTCAGGGTTTGATGGTGTAAGCAGCCATCTGTGTCTACAAGGCCTGATGATTCAATGTCAATCTGACTAGATCTACCAGTAAGTATCAGTCTTACCTGGCTTGTTTGATTTTTTTAGTTTAATACCAATCACACCATATACACCTATACATATGAAAATGGTCAAACAAGAAGACAAAGTCATCAATATCCCCCGCACTGGCAAATTACTCTTCATGAGTATGTCTACGAGTTATGATTATGTCAAATGTTTTGATGTGTATATAGAAAAGTGGAAGGAGAGTATTGAAGGTTTTAAAAGTTCAGCTACGGAAAAGAGCACAACAACCAATTTCAGTCTAAGCCAAACTTGTTGTCATGGAAACGCCAAAAATATTTTATTCAGAAATCCAAAACTACCAAAAGGCACCAGTACACCACCAGATCTATCCATGTGCCAAGCTTGGTGAAGAAATATTGAACGGTTTTAGAGTTCAGCTACGGAAAAGACAAATGTGCACGGACGGAGTCTATTTTAATACCCCCCGCAAAACGCGTTGCAGGGGATAGACGTTTAGACTGGACAAACCAGTGACTGGCATGAGCATCAATCTACAGAAATGGGATGCAATATACAATGTATATGCATTAGCCAAGACAGCCAGTCTGACCCTTCCACAATTCCAGTTACCTCTTACAACATGCATGGGAAGGTGATCCTAATCTGGATCTTCACAAATGCTTCCTTGGTACAGATCAATCAAATTTCCATTCTTTACTGTCAGCCTTCCTGACAACATGACCATGCTTCAGTCAACTTTGGTCTTCCTTCCATATGCTGGGGTCACCTTCCAGTAGTACAGCTACTGGTAAGTTGGTAATACTACATATTCCACGTTCCAAACCACATTCATAAGATAAGCATGTGTGCAGCACAATACTGACACAATGTTTCTTTCATTCCTCTTGGAAAAGTTAAATACAAATTTCTGTGCAAGAACCTTTGGAGTGTTAATAACTTTACAAACTTACACAGGGGTGGAAATAACTCATTGCCCGACGCCCGAGTCCAGTGTTTTTTTCTGTCGGGCAAGCAAATTTGTATATCACACTGTACTGGTGTCCAGTTGACTTTCCAATATTAATTATGTTGTTTATTTAAAAAATCAACAAGAAAACAGCCGGTATAGTGGAAAAATTATCAGGGCAAGTGATTTTACATGTGCCACTGTACCTGAGTACACTAGCAATTTTAAAGTTATTTCCACCCCTGTTACAATCTAACATTCCTGAATTGCAAGCATCTAAAACACATCCAAATTCAGATTAAACAGCTTAATGTCAGGATGAAACACTTGGTACTCACTCTGGCATCCCACTCGTTCAGTGACTTCACATTGATGTACTGCAGCTCTCCGTTAGGGCCATACATGATAGCATCATGCTCACACCGTGCTATCAACGTAATGTCATTGCCTAAATCCCATTTCCTATACCTGAAGAAGAAAAGGTTACCAATTGGTACAAACATAAATTTCCACAATTTATTCAGGGACTTATGTAGGATCCTGAACTAAATGTCCTACACAACCAAACTGGTTACAAGACATGTTACTCATATACACTCATGGAAACGAATAAGGGAACACATGAAAGTACAAGTGTTCCTTTATTCTTTTCCAGGTTTCTTCACAAGGTATGTATTTCACTGTGGGTGAAATTCTGGAAATACATAAAGGAAAACTTGTACTTTCATGTGTTCCCTTATTTGTTTCCATGAGTATATTTTTGGTGCAAACCATGAATTTGTTACCGAGGACTTAACATTATCATTAAAATCTTGTGGTAAAAACCTTTATTGGGTTAAAAACTTTTATTGAGCACACTATCTAGTGACTGACCATCAGTAATCACAACCCCCTTAGCTTCAAGCATGTCTGTCGACATTTATCAAGATATACAGTATCATCATTTATCAAGATATACAGTATCATCATTTATCAAGATATACAGTATCATCATTTATCAAGATATACAGTAACAGTCTTTCTTACGCAGGTTACTGAAAGCAAATGGAAGTAGTTTGCTAAAAGACTAATTAATGCATAGAATTTTACTCTGCTGCAATGGTTGCTCATTTGAGTCACAGTACTATATATATTAAGTCTTCTCTGTGAAGTACACTAAGCTTACATACCTGTACCCAACTGACGCCACTTCACTATCGTCTTCACCTTGTATAAAGGGATTCTTCTTGTCAAAGTTGTATTTTTCTTCTCCCTACAAGTCAAGTCAAATGTTATCACAGACACTTTAGGTAAATTCAACCAGTACACAATTCATTTCTGGCAATATTTTCAGCAGTTTCAGAGAGGATACTACTCCTTACAACTTTACTGACAATACTATTGTCAGACACATTGATGTGTGGCCATATTATGAATAATCTGAAGGTAGAGTATATCCCAATGCGGTATAAAACACTATGCACAGGAATTGGAGATTATAGGCACATATTTCTTTCATTAAAAAGGATGACATTTTAACACACAATGCCATTTAGAAAGTGGTCAAATTAAACACGTTACATTTGGGATTACACTTTCTCAGTAAAGTACAGATTCTAGTACTTTGTTGGGTTGAGTCCCATACAGGATTTGAACCCACACTCTCAAAGTCAGGCTTCTAACTGCCAGTAGACAAAGTCGGCCGCCTAACCAACAGCCACTTAGACATGGACATAACATTATTTGCTGTATACTTTTTATCATCTCAGAAAGCAAGGTTCTGTATGGAGCAAAGTTATTTAAATATGTGCAGCTGTCAAATATAAATAGCTTCAGCAGTATCGTGCAGCTTAAATCTGTCACAACAAGAATTCAAACAATTACTACTGACTAAGATTGTGTGAGACTAAATGGAGGGTAGGGGATGGGAAAACCAGCAAAGTGTGAGAGTGAGTTTAGTTTTATGCCGCTTTTAGCTTTAACCACTGGGCTACACCACCGCCCCATTCTGAGCCAGAACTCCACTTTGCAAGCTTATTAAGAGGTTAACTTGCCATTTTTAAAACTTGTTGAGAGAAGTTGTGGTTGATGAATGTAGCTTCGAGCGCCAGGTTGCGTGGAGAGTTGATGCTGTTCCCTTCATCCTGGGAGGTTCCGTCGCAGTTTCACTGACAGTCAGCAAGTCGAACTCAGAGTCATCACGCTTGTCAAAGAACAACTTGTTTCCCACTCGCTGCACAATGATATCCCAGGAATACACCGACCGGGTGCAGCACATGAGGGTGGCCAGAATCGCATCAGTAGCAAAAACATTGCCTTGTGTCTTAGCCAGCTGGAACAGACATGTCAATTACATTCTCTTTCCACCATGCAAACAAACTCTATCAGTTGTTGGTAAATGTCTTCAGACAATCCACTGTCCATATCAGCAACATTGTTTATGCTACACTGTATTAACACCGAGATGGACAGAACAACTTTTGTTTTACTTCTGTGTTGTTTAATGACCCACTGAACAATATTCCAGCTTCACAATGGTGGTTTGTTAGTAACAGAGACAAGCCCTGACAATGTAGTGAGTGATCCCATACATGAAGATCTAGGCCATCGGGGTACGGCGACATACTACCATAGCAAATGACAGTAACTATCTAACGTAAAATCTTCCCCTTTTGTATGAATACTTCCAAATTTGTCAGAATTCTAGACAATAAGAACATTAAAACAAAACATACCTGTCGGATGATGGGATCGTCAGTGGTTGTCACTTTGTGGAAAATACGATTGATCCTCTTCAGCCTCTTCTCATTCTTTGTGGTAACTCGGTCATAGGTCTTGTCATAGTACTCCATGCCTCCACACTTCACTCTAACAGACAAATACACCAGGTAACTACGACTTCGGATACGGGTTGATAGTAGTTAATAATGACATCAATACATGAGCAGAGTGAACATCCTTATGTAACACTTCTGCAAACAATATTCCTGCATTTTTAGGGCAGTTCACACCAAATATTTGCTTCACCCATTGCACAATAAGAAAGCAGTATTCTGTGAACACTGAAGCCCTCAACTAGTTATAGAATATTTCCCTTTGACAAAAATGTAATTTTCTGAATAAAATTGATATTTTATACTTATCCTGACTCATGCTTATTTGCTTGTCTCCTTCCTCTTGCGAACACCAGTGGAACACTTGTATCTCCTATTGAAGCTCCCTTCAATAAAAACAGACGTAAAATCACCACTCACCAAGAGTTATCTGTCTGGCCGTTTTGGCGGGAAAGCAGCGCCACCGTACTCCCATGCTTCACTCTCTCTGAATTATGAGCCCGACACTTTAATTTACAGGGAAATCCAAAGTGTCTAGCAGGGAGGTTGGGAGGGCTTACCTCATGAGTCAGGATAAGTATAAAATATCAATTTTATTCAGAAAATTACATATTTTTCCTTATCCTGACTCATGCTTATGTGCTTGTAGAATCCAACGGATTTGGTGGTGGGTCAAGCTACTTCTGGATTTCATGTAGTGATTTACGTCTTGCATACCCCCCTATGGGAACTTCCTGGTAGCACTTCTGTTACTGCTAGGCTCTGCTGCTGCTGTAACCCTTCACTTCCAGCTTTCTCTGATGGGGGGACCACAATTGTTAACTTTTGGTCCTTGCTTCTGTTAACATTTCATGTGGATTTTGCAACTCCATCTCTTGATGCGAGCATCAAGTGGAGAAGCGACCCTTTCCTGTACGAGTATGTCTTTACAAGTACTGGGTCATATCACTTATGCTAGTCTTTGTAGACGTGCATATAGACTCTAAAGCTGAACTCTCCTGAGTGTAGGCTTTTGCAAGTCATGTGATAAAAGGGCAAGACTCCGTCTCAGCGCCTTTGTGGGACTGTCAATTGTTGTTGTACAACAAGTGGGCCGAAATGGTGAATGCCAGAGCCGTCCTCGGTGGCGATGTCCCTCAGGTAGTGGGTGATAAACACCATGTCCCATTTCCAGAAGCAGCCCTCCATTATCGTCTTGATAGAGCGATTCCCATGTAGAGCGAGCGTTGACGCCAGAGCTCTAACTTCATGTGGGTTGGAGGCTCTTGGAGGATCAAATCCTGCTGCTTTGTAGGCCCGAAGTATGACAGTTCTGATCCAGCTTGATATCTTAGTGCGGAAGACCTCCGTCTGTGTCGCTGTCGATATCGGGACGAAAAGACACTTGAATTTCCGTCTCCTGGATCTAGATCTTGTAGGTAGACTTGCAATGCTCTCACTGGCCACAAGGATAGGTCCTGCGTATCCTGTGGGCCAAGGGCTGATGATAGTGTTGGGACGTGGAACTGTCTGTCTGGATGACCTGGCAGTTGATTCTTGCTATGAAGTCCCATCTCAGTCCCATATGCACGATGTTTTGATTTCCATCAAATTGTGTTCTCTCGAAGTCCAGAGCATGGATTTCCGACATCCTTGCTGCTGTTGCTAAAACTATCAGGAACAGCGTCTTCTGCGTCCAAGAACTCAAATGATGTTCTTTGAGATGGTTCCCCTAGTGAGATGTCGTGAGAACTCGTTGAGATCCCACGTCAGAGTTTTCAAATCTCTGTTGTTGGTCCTCCAATTAAAAGGGCGTAGTAAGGCCAGTAACTCTGGTACTTTTAGGTCAGTTGCACTTGTCCTCATAGCGATAACTGAGCTCAATGCCGCTAGGTATGTTGAGAGTGTTGACTCTTTTAACCGCTTTGTTTGTCTAGGTGACAAAGGTAGTCCGCCACTTGAGGATGTGTCACTTTCATGGCTGTGAAGCCGGTCCTCGAAGCGTATGTCTCAAAGTGTCGCCACTTGTCGTCATACAAGTTGCGTGTAGACTTGAGTAAAGCTAGTGTGACTGCTTTCGCTGCCCTGGCGGAATATCCTCTCTTGTTCAAGCATGCCTTGATACAGTCCACATGTGTAGCCGGAACACCTCTGGGTTGCCGTGCGCCTGCTTTGTGTGAGGATGTACTAGTAGATTCGTCCAATCTGGTAGTTGCAGTTGAGGCAGTCCTAGGTCTTGTATGAGAATAGGGAACCATATTCTCACTGGCCAGTAAGACGCGCCTCAAGTAGTTGTAGGTCTCTGATCGATTTTCTGCAACACCCTCGGTATTAGAGCTGGTGGTGGAAACGCGTGAGCGTTTAGTCCTTGCCATGGATGCTTGGTATTGGTGAGACGAAAATTCTCAGTTGACCTTTGTGGCAAAGAGGTCTATTAATGGTGCTCCCATCTCTCGTATGATCTGTTTGAAGATCTCCGGATGTAGCATCCAGTCTGTTGAGAATGGCTGCGTTGGACAGGATAGTGCATCTGCTATCACATTCTTGGCTCTTAGAATGTGGCATGCTCTGATGTGTACCTTCAGGTTGACTATTATGCTGGCCAGTGGAAAGCAGAGGTCCAGAAGGTTCGCCGACCTTGTTGATCCTTCTGTGGATGTAGAACGCCACTGAGGAGGTGACTGTATGTACCGTCAGATGAGCATTCTATAAAATGCTGGTCCAGTGGAGTATGGCGTTTATCACTGCTTTCATTCCCAGCATGTGGAAGTGCAGATCTTCTCTGCTCTGGTCTATATCCCAGCTGACACATCGTTGTCGAGGTGTGCTCCCCAATCTTGGAGAGATGCGTCCACATAGAAATGCGTCTTATACTCCGGCTCTGCTAAATAGGTGCGTCTGCGACCCACTGATCTCTGAGTCCACCATATTAGATATGGATTTAATCTGTCCGGGAGTCCGAAGGGGTCCGGATCGTCCAGTCATACATTCACGAAGACCTGTAGTGGGTGTAGTGGTAGACTCCCTCTGTGTGTCACGTCTTGTGCTGACATGAGAAGAACCAGCAGACTCTGCCACTTCGTAGTAATAACGGAGAGAGTAGTGCTTGAAATACAAGGACTTGTATCTATATCCTACGATCTTGAAACCCTTGCCGTGTCCGTAAGGGAAATGAAGCGATGTCCAGCTCCGTGACTGCCATCGGTGTGAAGTCTATATAAAGTCGCCTGGCTGCCGGCACCCAACGCCTGTCCAACGTATGTTGCTGCAATTCGTCTGATGAATTGCTGCAATGATGACAAGGAAGGTTTTTTACCTTGTGAAGACAGCCAAATCACGTAGGTCCCGCCTAACTGGACTGTAATTGAGGCCTTCCTCTCTCGCTGACAGGTTGTTGTCACTTGTAACCCACTTCTTGACCTGTGAACTACGGCCGACCTCTGCGCAGGGCGTTGTCTCTCATGGTCCAATCAAAATAAAGCATTTTGATTCCTTTGGCTCACCACGCTGTGACGTCACCGGTGTAGCAGGAAAAAGATCCTTGTAGAATCTAGTGCCGCTGTTGATATCTGATCACCCCTCGGTCTTGTCCGTAGCCTTCGGAGTTACACGAGTGACCACGTGTATCGAGGGTTGAATGGTAAACGCGCGAAATATTTCGGCTGTTTTCCTGGCTGCTGTGACTGTTACTTCAGTTCTGAAGATAATGTCGTCGCCCTTTATACAGATGATCAGCTGAAATCTGCACGTTGTCAGTGCTGTTCTTGTAGACTGCATACATCTATCTCAATGAAGCATCGTAATTGTAGAATTAATGCTGAACTTTGTTGGAAATTCTACTCAGGGAATCGTTGACGAGTATGTAGTTACCTAGCCTTAGCAAGGCTGCTGTTAAACCACGCCAGTGAGAATATTTGCAGATCTATACGGAAGTGAAGATCTCTATAAGGCCATGAGTCTTCTAAAGTAGATATATCAATCTATGTGGATCCCGTCCTGGATTCAGTCTGAAGATTCGTGCCGGTTATGAATTCGGACAAGAGTACCCCTCTTGAACTTTATGACATGCCCTTTAGTCTGTGTGCCGACGAAGATCTTTCTCTTCTAGGGTGGCGCTAGGTCCAGTCGTTAATAACCTTGAAGATCTGCGTAGCGATCTGCATGGTGGTCGGCGTGGTGTGACTGTATGGCGCCTTGCGTGTAGGTAATCATCTTGTAGTCCAGGATTGCCTACCTGGCAATATATTCCGAAATGGTGATTCCTGTGATGATCTGCGAAGCGTCTTTGATGCCCTTGATGTAGGTAGTCTGCCTGAAGATCCTTTATTAGGCTAATCATCTGTTGATGGTCTCTGAGGATAGCGCCGTCCTTCGCGCAAGTTGTAGACGACATGTAGCGTTCTGTTAAGAAGTTAAGTACTGCGACGTCTCTGCGTTGTAGATGGCCTATGCGAATGCCTTCGCGCAGGCTGCGAATGCCGCTCTGTTAAGAAGCTAGCAGGCTTCTCGGTGTAGATGGCCTGTCATGTAGCGTTCTGTTAAGAATCTATGTACTGCGTCGTCTCTGTGTTGTAGATGGCCTGCGTGAATGCCTTTGCGCAGGCTTGTTGACGGCATGTAGCATTCAGTTGAGAGACTGAGTACTGCGATGTCTCTGCTTCATTGGGAATCTGCGTGACGACCTGCGTGGAGACATGCATGGAGATCGGCGTGGCGAGTGGCCCGGCGAACTGTGTCAGTAGGGTGACCTGCGCGGAGATGAGCGACTGTGGGTTCGCGAATGTCTCGGCGCATCCCTCGACGATCTGCGTGATGCGGAAGATGTCTTGGATACTGTATCTGAAGTCCTTCAGCGAATTCTGATTCCGCATCTGGGGAATGGCGACTAGTCCTTCGCGAACGCTGGTCGTCCGATTCTGTATCCAGGGATGGGCGATTCCTCCTTCGCGCCTTCGTCGAATGCTGATCGTCCGAATCCGTAGCAGGTGATGACCGAGATGTCCTTCACGCGAATCCGTTCGCGGATGCTGATCGTCGAATCTGTCGCAGGGGATGGTTGAGTCGACCTTCGCGCAGGCTGGTCCTGCAGTGTAGATCTGCTGCCAGATGTCACGATGATGGAGGGTCCCTCAGAGACGACGTCTGCGTTGGAGCCTTCGCGAAGGCTCGGGACCTCTTTGTCCAGGCCGTAACGCTGCTCCATCATCTCCATGATATGTTGAGAGAACTGCTGCATAACGTCCCCCGGGTTGAAGGCAGCGCTGCCCTTTCTACGGTGATAGCGACGTGGCCCACAGGACGCTCATCTGCTGTCAGCGTAGATACACGGGTTGAGTGGAGATCTGCGCTGAAGTCACCGTAGCTGAGACTGGTCTTTTCTTGGGATGAATCTCTGGGATGATGATCGGTTGATCATCGTAGAGTCCCTGTTCCGTCATCGGGACAATCTCGGGAGAGAAAGACCTTGTAGTCTGCGCAGACGTCCCCGTAGAGTTGGTCGTTATCTGAGGGGTGTGAAGCCTTCTCTGGGTAGAGTATGGCTTCCTTTTCATCGTCTGCGATGATTGTAGAGCTGCCCTCTCTGCATTGATAGCGATACGGTTCAGGGATTGCTCATCTGCCGACCTTGGACTGCGTGCTGTATCTCTGGGATGATCAGCAACGGCTCAACCTGAAGTCATCTCACTGCCATCAGGACGATGTCTGTGAGGCTTCATTCTGTGTAGAGGATGGCTTCTTCTTCTACGTCTGCGTTGAGGGGTTGTACGGCTGTAAAGCCAACATAGTAAGTCGCCTGACAGCAGTCACTCAGCCAGTTTATCCAAGACTTGTAAAGTCACCTGGATTTGTCGGTAGTACGTCTAAGTACAGAGAAAAATTATTTATTAATTTGAATTTCTATTAAATGCTGATAAATATTACAGCTATAGCTGGAAGTACATGTTGTTGTGCAGCTAGAGCACAATCAATGCAGGTTTGCAGCAGCGAACCTAAACCTACAACGAAAATAGGTTTTCATGAAATGTAAACAACTGAACAAACACGGACAATTCCGTGAATAAACAGTGCTAAATACGATTAAATATCAAACCATATTGTTGAAGAATACTAACTAAACCTCTATAAAAGTAGAATAGAGGAGAATAACTTAAGTAATTAAAGGATATAGTGCCGTATAGAAGACACAGGCGCTCTCACGACCTGCCCACAGGGCGAAGAAGGAGAGAGTGAAGCATGGGAGTACGGTGGCGCCGCTTTCCCGCCAAAACGGCCAGACAGATAACTCTTGGTGAGTGGTGATTTTACATCTGTTTTTATTGAAGGGAGCTTCAATAGGAGATACAAGTGTTCCACTGGTGTTCGCAAGAAGAAGGAGACAAGCAAATAAGCATGAGTCAGGATAAGGAAAAATAGATATTCTTAAAGAAATTATAACTGTTTTCATAAAAAAGAAAATGTACAGTTAACTTACAAGTCATTCTTGTCATCTATTTGAGGCAGATTGAGTTTAGTCAATCGTGGAAAGTCCATCTCCTCCACAACTGTCCAATCATCTCGCACCTGAACTGATGCGTCACGATGCTTCAGGGGTGTCTGTAAGAAACAAAAACCAGAGATTTGATAACACTACTATGCATGAATCAAACAAAAAAACAAACACACTTTAATTTGGCGGGACTAACATTGTACAGTTACAGGCCTTAGATGTTTGTCGTTTTAGGCAAGTGGTTTGTGTTGACAAACCTGAAAACATCATGGTGAATCATAGCTTCCTGGTATGCCAAGGGGCACAACTCTTCACAGGAAATAGTGAATCAAGGACGACTTGGTACAATGGGCCCTACGTGTACTAGCAACACCTGTTACTTGCTGTCCTAGGTCTAATAATGTAGCACTTGAAGGACATCATAAAGTACCTTTTGTCTGTTCTCCTGCATCTGTTTACCGAACTGTTTCTGCCACTTCTTCAGCAGCCTCTGGCGATCACTGTTGGGACATAAGATCAAGCATTAGTAAGTCAATTTTATAGCGCTTTGTGAAGTAACAGGGATTTCCACTGTCACAACAGGGTGGGAGGTTATACAACTCGAAAACTAAATACCAGTAAAATATGGAAACTAATAATAATCTGGTTACACTGGAAAGAAACACTTGAAGTTAAGTACAAGTTCCAAAGAGCTACCGTAGCATAATGACGTCATCAGGATCATGTCAGTATTCAAGAATATGGAACGAGTCTTTGGACAGTCTACCCTGCATATAATTTCCAATTGGCTCAATATGGGACAATATTATTCACTGCAAAATTCCTGACATATCACTGTATGCAGAAATGAGAATGGGATATTCACATTGTGCCAGTGTGGGGAATCTATCCTGGGTCAGAGAGATGAGTGATGAGGCACTGGAGTGATTGGTTAATAAGAGAAATAGCTGGAAAATCACTGGGCTCAGAGTTAAACAAAATATAAACAAAGCCATGAACAATCTACTGACCGCTCTCTATTCTTCTGGGTCTTGGACAGCACTTGGAGATTGGCCTGGTTCTGCTGTTGGCGACGTTCTCGCTCCCGCCTCTGTTTGTTCTGAACAAAGTTTTCAAAATTAATAGAGGCTGCTTATCACAAAACAGGAAAGTCCCAGTGATGACTTATTTTACCAAGGTTAGAATATATCTTGGGGCAAGTGTAGCAATACAGTTTCAATCCAGACCTGGTATCACCCTGCAATACACTTTTAGTTTTGCTTGAACTATTGAATGTCTTTAACTTCTCTATTATTATCATCAAATAACACTACAAAAACAGATTTGTCAAGAGGTCAATATCTATTTTAAAGATTTGACAAATATCTCACTGAACGCAACCATATTCATTACTTTGCATGTCCTGAACATAAAGCACGGACTATAAGAAATGTCAGCATACAAGTTAAATTGAATATAAAGTACCTGTTGGAACAATCGTCGTCCTCTCTGGTACATAGGTCGCTGCACACGTGCAGTATCAACCAGCTGGTAGCTGGACTCATCTTCATCATGGTAATAGGCATACTGGCTCCCTCCACCAAATGCTGAATTGTACTTGCCTGAAACATTCAACATATGTTAAGAATATATCCTCAGTCAAAAAGATCACATATCATTTTAGCGAAAATGATAAAATGAGTGAGTGAGGCAGCGAGTGAGTTTAGTTTTATGCTGCAATATTCCAGTTCTATGGCGGTGGTCAGCAAATAATATGGACTGATAAAATGATGTTGTAGTTAAGTACAAGTCTTTATCATCACAATATCTATCACTGTGGATTTCTTTCTGATTTTATCATCGTAGACGATAGGCAACATATGATAATATTGGGTGTTTCAACACCTACACTAGAAAAAGAATTTTCTAAAACAATAATTTTATCTTACCCAGATATCTTTTGTCTTGATAAGTTGCTCCAGTCCAGTCAGATACCTGACACAATAAACAAGTGAATTCAACCATCAAGTCAATCATGGTTCATCCATAACCATGCAAGATATTGGGTAAATTACAAAGATAATTGACAATTTCCATGCATGTACAGATTTCCAACAAACAAAATTTAATTCAATTTTTCTCTCAGCGTTTCAACAGCAACACAACCCTGTGTTTGAAGCCTGAGCCCAGTAAAAGCTAACATCTGTGATTGTGTATGTAGATAATATGGTGTCATTGCTGAGATAATCTGTCACCTAAATCATTGCTGATTTTCGAGGTGTATTAAACCTGAACGAATAATTACAAAATCACTTTGTCTGTGTGCTATTGTGTTAATAACCTTTTCATACAATAACCGTATGCACATTAATAGTTGATGCATAATTGCTGGCATTATGGTATCAAAAGGCATTATATTTTAACACAACAATATTCAATCCCATTGCAATCAATATAGCAGTATATTTACCAATATACGACTCATTGTTATTCGTTATTGACAGAAATACTGACACGCAAACCATAAGGGGCCAACCATAATACCTTCATGCACAATCGAGTCTTCATTACGTACATCTTATCCCTTGCTGCTTGTAAATTCCCGTAAAATCTAGTCCCATATACTCCCATATTGTCGTTCATTGACTAAAACATATGGTCTCAAATAAACATGATCACCTTTCCCAGTCGAACATCCTTTGAAAACGGCTGATAGGGCATATCTTTAAACTGGTCGGGAACCTGACAAGGACCCCATCCCGTCGGATTGTCCTGAATCTGTGGTGGTTCAAAGTGAGCCATTTCGTTGCCGTCAACTTGCCGGAAAACGTGCGTAATGGCGGCAACTAAAGGCTCGCACTGAATGATTAGGAGAGAAAAAGAATTAAATGTTGATACACGAGCTACAGATGTGCTGCTCAATTTGTTGATATTGAGTATGCAGGTACGTATGACTACATCATTATTTGCTGACACATATATTATTATCCAATCGACATAGGCATGGCATTGCCTCCGTAAAGGTGTCAATATATCGCCAAACCACACGAGACTTCCTATCGCGGAAGTGCTGTTGATGAAAGTTCGGAAACTTTGCTGCATGCCGATCAACACACGGGAAAGACACCTTAATTCGCATGGCAACGCCGAGCAGAGGAAGGGAACTTAGGTTAGAGTCAACATCGTCGCAAGGTAGTCAAAGCGTAAGTGTTTTAATCGAAGAATGCGTAAAAAATAAAAATAGACATGACTGATAATGCTGCTCGTTACACGCTGAAGTTGTTGGGGGATGGGTCACCCTTTTCAGTTGAGTTGTATCATGACATTGAGTGACACTGACAGTTCTGAACAGAAATACGCCAGCTTTCTGATGTAGCCGAACATGATTCTCGTTTGTTTATGTACACTGTGTCACATTTTGTAAATCGACAGCACGCAATTAAATTCTTCGGAAGTAAACAAATTAGATGACATGCATCTAGCAAATTAGCAAATGTCATTGGATGATGCTGGTACAAAAAAAGTTTGTATATTTAGTATTATTGTATACACGTGTATATTTATGTTCATATTTCAGCCATATTTGTCAATGACATAGGTGTGAATCCAATTTATGTCATCTCAGTTAAAATAATTAAACTTTTTAACTCTATATGATTGTACATTTGGATAGCATCATTACACAACTTTTATCATGGTGCCTTGATATAATAATCTGATCAAAACTGTTGAAGCAAGGGACTGATGTAGAACTGTTGTAAATATCCATACGTACCCAGGGGTGGAAATAACTTTAAAATTGCTAGTGTACTTCGGTACAGTGGCACATGTAAAATCACTTGCCCTGATAATTATTCCACTATACCGCCGTTTTCTTGTTGATTTTTTAAATAAACAACATAATTAACAATGGAATATCAACTGGACACCGTACAGTGTGATATACAAATTTGCTTGCCCGACAGAAAAAAACACTGGACTCGGGCGTCGGGCAATGGGTTATTTCCACCCCTGCGTACCAGAGATGACAACATATATATAGGCACATACCTAACTTTTCTCACTCTGCCAGTCTGTGTTTATACTTTGAATGAGTGATAATTGATTTGTATAACGCCTGGTTTCCAGATTAAACATGACTGCTCAACGGTGCTTGTTGAAGTTCGCTGAATGTCTTCACATGAGTTAGAAAAGAATCTTTTGTTGGACAATTTCTGATTTCCAGTGGTAGAGCATTCCACAGTTTTGGAGCTGCAAAGCATAGAGCTACTTCACCCATCTTTGTTTTAGTTTTAGGAACTTGAAGTAGTTTATCATCGACTGATCTTAAAGCTCTTGTGGGTTGGTAGCGATGTAACATGTCCTTAATATAATAAATTGGGGAGTTTTCATCATTTAGTGCTGAATACATGATAGAAAGAGTCTTCTACTTTGGATCAGCTTATTAATTATGAAATCATAATCTTCTTCTCTACAGTATGTTATATCAACTTTTAAAATGTGTAAATGCCTGTTTATGAAGCTTTAAAGTATCAATTCACAAACAGATGACAGGGTAAATTATGGTTCCATTTGCATAATACAAAATGTTTCTTTAGTACTCAAAAGTTACAAAGAGTTTCATTTATATAGTAAGGTTCTAAGTAAAAAAAAGCCTGAGAGACAAACTGATGTACCTATAAGTTATAGACTACAGTTGTTTTAAGCTGGAAAGTAACAAACTTACACAATAATTAGAGTCATCAAGTTGTGTTAGAGAGGTACCAGCTTTCAGTTCATATGAGACAAACATTTGCTGCTAAATCGAGAGGGTCAATGAATAATCAGTGATTACTTCAGTCCCATTGTTAATCATTATGTATTGGTACGTATTCTGAACACCAAATAAGCCTGAAGGAAGTAATCATAGCTTATGGTATTGGTAACCCTATAAGGTGTATGTACTCTTACATCATCAATACTGACAGTTTGTGTGTCACCTGGTTCCATAATTGGTAGGAGAACCTTACAAACTTCAGTTCATCCTACTAGAGGTGCGACGATACAGAAATTTAACGATACAATACATATCGCGATATGTTGGAACGATACGATTCGATTCAATGCATATCACGCTATGATATGTTTAGTTATGTTCTTTAAAAACTTATATATTTCCACAACGAGTAACAGTGTAAATTTTGACATAACCGTCAAATTCTAGTGAAAATTAACAATTTTAAGGTCAACGATACATATCACGATAAAGTGTCAATATTTTTAATGATGCTTCATTATTGTTTAGCTCTTTTCTATATTTTGGAATACAAACTGTTAGAAAAGGTCTGTGTGCAGAGGCAAATTGTTAGTTGTGTAATGTCATTGAAGATGTAACACAGATCATTTCAAAATGTAAATTTTATGAAAAATAATGAACTTCTAGCAAAATTACATTTAGTAATAAAGCTGGACCCTATTTGATTTTTATTTGAAAACAGTAACAGATTATTCAAGATTTGGAACATACTTCATAAGATCATTAGAGTGAGAGATGATGTGATGTAAATGCACAAATGTATATTATTGTTATGGGTAAGTGGTCTTTGAAACAGTAAATATTGATTGATTTATCCTGAGCAAAGAGTGTGTTATGTATACTGGACAAAAATAGTTAGGGATATATGTAAATTTTGAAATTATGAAAATTATCTTTATAATCATTGACACACTGATAAAATATCGACAATAAAAATACCAATATCCCTAACTTATTTTGTCCAGTATATAATGATGTATGTTAACTGTAGTGTGACAGCTACAGTGTGTTATTGCAGATTGCTCATCAGCATCTTCTCATCTTACACCGGCTCACTAATTAACAAATCCTTATGAATCTGTTTGCAGCTGCAATTTACGAAAATAGTTTGACATGTATCATACACAGAGTACTCAGTAACAGGAAAGATATCCCAACAAGGTTTAGTGAGGTTAGGTAATGCAAGTGTAAACCAAACACTTTTGAGTCTACCATTACTGCCTTGTCCTTCTACACTATTGCTGTATACATTTTTATGGTATATGCTTACCTGACCAGAAATAGCTTGACTAGAGTGGCTTAATGCTCAGACAATCCAGTAACTTGTTACTCATTAAGTGTTGAATTTATCTAGGATTTTATACTAAAGTGCATTTGGCAAGCATCTTTGCTGGTAAAAACTAATAATTGTTGTCAAAAATATGTTGGTTTCTTTTGTTATTGTTTGAAAATAAGCATTTCGGCCTTCTCCTATCTATTGGTGTTGTTATGGATGAAATGCAGGTTGCTTACATAAGACATGACATTCTTTGGCATTGCATATGACTATAAGTATATTAAATGGGAAATTTGTAATTCCACTTTTGGAATTTTGCTGATGTTGGCAAGAAACATGAGGCTGGATATTGACCTCTGAGTGAGTGAGTGAGTTTAGTTTTACGCAGCACTTGGCAATATTCCAGCTATATGGTGGCGGTCTGTAAATAATCGAGTCTGGACCAGACAATCCAGTGATCAACTGTTGACCTCTGACCACATCTCCATTACTGCCTGTAACTATGTCCTTGTCCAAGCATCCCAGCTGCTAACTATGTCAGGGTCAGCACATGTTATAAAGTAACAACTTTCTGGATTACATATGGACCTAAGTAATCTGAAGTCAAGACTGTTTACTTGAGAGAAAAGTCCTGCAGGGTGTAACTGCTGGTGTTTGAGTGACCTTGTCAAACAGACCTGTAGTTAGTATATCAGGGAGTGTTAGAGAGAGGGTAAACAATTAATGTCTCTTGGACATTACTTCAGCCATGATAAAGTGAGTGAGTTTGGTTTTATGCCGCTTTTAGCAATATTCCAGCAATATCATGGCAGGGGACACCAGAAATGGTCTTTACACATTGTACCCATGTGGGGAATTGAACCCGGGTTTTCAGCGTGACGAAGCAAACACTTTAACCACTAGGCTACCCCCACCGCCCCCTCAGCCATAAAGTGACAAAGTATTATGAGAGGGTAAGCATTAAGAACACTATAAGAAGTGGATAGCACTACCAGATGCAGAGTGGAGATGTTTAGTTTGTCCTGGTACAATTGATTGTAATTGTATATACTCAGCCACATATGTTTTGCTGGGTTAGAATTAATCTTCAATGCTTGTCATTAGAGGTGATCCGCTGGTCACATTTGATGACTCAGTTATGCATGTCATCATAACCCAGCCCAGTAGGTCCATGCTCATGATGTCGATCACTAGATATTCTTCCTCAAATTGGATTATTTACTGGCTGGCACATTCATGGCACATTCTTTAGTGTGGCATTAAACAATACACAAACATATGACCCATGCCGACATGACACCCAAGAGCGTGCTAACTTACTAACTTGCTTGTGTGTAATGTATTTTTGCACATTATCATTTTCATTGTCCAGTGGTTTTATCCCAACTGACCAAACCTGGACAGATACATTATCGTATTACACATGTGTGATATGCTTTAACATATGATTTGAGGATTTGCTGGTGGCAGTTTAAACCAAGCTGTAACAAGATAAAATCATGTTTATTTGCCGTGTATCAAGTGTTTATTGAAGTATCTGACCTTTGACCTATCACCTGTGGTCATATAAGGATACTTTACACTTATTGATTGATTGAATATGCCACAAAATATCAGACCTTCTTAAACTGATGTTCCGGTTGCTAGAAACTCCATGTAGTATCTACAGATTAATGAGGAATTGATTAGCGTGACTAGTTGTGAATGTCTTTGTTTGTGTGAGTGACAAGGAAATGGTATGAACTTTGGTCAATCTGAACATTGTATCGTACACTGAGCAAGGGTATTCACTAAAGGCATGACCGTGTCTTATTTGAGCCATCACGCATCAGTTTGTAAGCAATTATCACCCAGGGAGTGTGAACAGCAGAAAAATATACAATGTCATAGTTAAAAATAAAATTATACTCTGAAGGACAGGATGCAGTGTCTTCAATATCCTGCACACACACAAAACTCGTTTCTTACCTAACAAAAGAATGACCCTTTCTGACCCATAAAGATCCGGGTTAGAATTGGTCTTCAGCAACCTATGCTTGTTGTAAGAGGTGACTAATGGGATTGGGATATCAGGCTCTGGTTGACACATGTCATTGTATCCCAGTTGTGTAGATCGATGCTCATGTTGTTGATCATAGGATTGTCTGGTCCAGACTCGATTATGTAGAGACCTTGTCATATAGCTGGAATATATTTTTGTGTGGCTTCAAACAAGAAACAAACAAAATAACCCTTTCTATGTAGTGATAAACATAAGCGTAAAAAGAATCTTGTGTCAAATCAGCTGCTTGGAATCATTCATTCACTGTTACATCTTACCCAAAAAAATTCTGTCATCTAAAATGTGTGTGTATCTCAGTTCATGCCATTCCTGGCCTTTGTATAATTTTATGGTGAATTGAGACGTGTTTCATGAGCAGTGGTTTGTGATACATATTGTATTGTGATCTTCTGTGAAGGTGCACCTTCTTTAGTAATCATGGTCAATGTTTGCTGAACGGAAACTGTCAGTGGGGGCATTAGTTCTATGTGTTACCTCTCTGTTTGCAGGTGTATGTTGAAACCACGTTTAGCGCAGGTAGTGCAGTGTCTCCCATAACCAAGATACGTGTCAGTAAGTAGACCTGTTGTCAGTCGGGGCAGGTGGGTGGCTGAGTGGGCGGTGTGCTTGCTTGTCATACAGTGAGCCTAGGCTTGACTACATTTAGGCCGTTTCCATGGAGTAGTGGTTGGAGCGTCCGCCCGGAGCGCGGAAGGTTGCAGGTTGGATCCCCGACCGCGTCATACCAAAAGACGTTAAAATATGGTACTTGTTGGTCCCCGCCTGGCACTCGGCATTAATGGGTACATCAAGGACTGGTCGGCTCAGAGTCAGTATAATGTGTCTGAGTGGGGTATTCATGCTTCACTCAGTGGGCTATCACTATAAAACCAGCTTAAGTCTGGGCTAGTACAAGCCGCCGCACATACACATACACACGCATGCATGTCGTCATATGAGCGAAATATTCTCAAGTACGACGTTAAACCCAATTTCACCTCACCTCACCTTGACTCCAGTTATGTATACTGTTTAAATGTCATCAACTCTTGGTTATAACCCTAAAGATTTTCTTTGAATCATAAAGTACCCAATTCATTTACATGTTTTTGTAATAACTTTTGCTAGCATACACACATCTAACATCTTTTTTTCTGCATGGTTAGTGATTTTACAGGCTAAATATACAGGATTGTTGTAACTTTTAAGAAAAAAAAACATGTTGCTGTAATGTTCACTGTAGTTAGTAACAGTCACTGTCCTCAGCCTGTGCCAAGAAATTTGACTTGTCAAGGCCAAACTTGTCCTTCCAAACAATGTTCAGCTGATTTACTCCTTTGTCCTTACATATAAGCTAAGCTAAGCTAAGCTCAGATTACATGACTGAAACAATTTTCCTGGAGTTTCTGGACTGGTGACATAAGACAAGCTTGTTAGTGTGTATAATAATGGCCAGAATAACTGACACTTGTCCACTTTGGAATGATCAGCATGAATTTGCTTTGTTTCGATCTCTTGAGAAATTAATTGAAATTAATTTCAATATAAACACTCAGAAATGCATATATCATGACTTTAGTCTTCATTCGGTGAATATGGTAAGCCATGTGAGAATATCGCTTGAATCTCTTGAAATTGTTAGGCAGAATACATCCGCTCTCTTGAGATTGTTTACCAGAATAGATCTTCGCTCTTCAGAATGTTGGACAGAATAGATCCACTCTCCTGAGATTGGACAGAATAGATCTTCTCTCGTGAGATTATATGACAGAATAGATCCACAATCTTGAGGTGGAATTTCAGATTAGATCTGCACTCTTGAGACTTTTGGACAGAGTAGATCCACTCTCATGAGATTGTTGGACAGAATAAATCCTATCTCTTGAGATTGTAGACCAGATTATATCCACACTCTTCAGGCAGTTGGACAGAATAGATCCACTCTCGTGAGACTGGTGGACAGAATAGATCCACTGTGAGATAATTGGACAGAATAGATCCACGCTCGTGAGACTGGTGGACAGAATAGATCCACTCTCGTGAGACTGGTGGACAGAGTACATACACTCTCGTGAGATTGTTGGACAGAGTAGATCCGCTCTCGTGAGATTGTTGGACAGAATAGATCCACGCTCGTGAGATTGTAGACCAGATTAGATCCACACTCTTCAGACAGTTGGACAGAATAGATCCATTCTCGTGAGATTGTTGAACAGAATAGATCCACGCTCGTGAGATTGTAGACCAGATTAGATCCACACTCTTCAGACAGTTGGACAGAATAGATCCATTCTCGTGAGATTGTTGAACAGAATAGATCCACGCTCGTGAGATTGTAGACCAGATTAGATCCACACTCTTCAGACAGTTGGACAGAATAGATCCACTCTCGTGAGATTGTTGGACAGAATAGATCCACGCTCTTGAGATTGTTGAACAGAATAGATCCACACTCTTCAGACTGTTGACAGAATAGATCCACACTCTTCAGAGAATGTTGGACAGAATAGATCCACTTCGTTGAGACTGTTGGACAGAATAGATCCACTCGTGAGATTGTTGGACAGAATAGATCCACTCTCTTGAGATTGTTGAACAGAATAGATCCACACTTCTTGAGAATAGATAGACCAGATTAGATCCACACTCTTCAGACAGTTGGACAGAATAGATCCATTCTCTCGTGAGATTGTTGGACAGAATAGATCCACTCTCGTGAGATTGTGGACAGATTATATCCACACTCTTCAGATTGTTGGACAGAATAGATCCATTCTCGTGAGATTGTTGAACAGAATAGATCCACTGCTTCGTGAGATTGTAGACCAGATTAGATCCACACTCTTCAGACAGTTGGACAGAATAGATCCACTCTCGTGAGATTATTGGACAGAATAGATCCACTCTCGTGAGATTGTTGAACAGAATAGATCCACGCTCGTGAGATTGTAGACCAGATTATATCCACACTCTTCAGACAGTTGGACAGAATAGATCCACTCTCGTGAGATTGTTGGACAGAATAGATCCACTCTCTTGAGAATGTTGGACACAATAGATCCATGCTCTTGAGATTGTTGGACAGAATAAATCCACACTCGTGAGAATGTTGGACAGAATAGATCCATGCCCTTCAGATTGTAGATCAGATTAGATCCACACTCTTCAGACTGTTGGACAGAATAGATCCACGCTCTTGAGAATGTTGGACAGATTAGGTCCACACTCTTTAGACAGTTGGACAGAATAGATCCACTCGTGAGATTGTTGGACAGAATAGATCCACTCTCTTGAGAATGTTGGACACAATAGATCCATGCTCTTGAGATTGTTGGACAGAATAAATCCACACTCGTGAGAATGTTGGACAGAATAGATCCATGCCCTTCAGATTGTAGATCAGATTAGATCCACACTCTTCAGACTGTTGGACAGAATAGATCCACGCTCTTGAGAATGTTGGACAGATTAGGTCCACACTCTTTAGACAGTTGGACAGAATAGATTCACGCTCTTGATATTTTTGGACATTGTTTACCAGAATAGATCCTCACTCTTGAGATTGTTGACCAGAATTGATCCACATTCCTGAGAATGTTGGACAGAATATATCCTGTACATTATAAGGACTTGGTAGTTACAATGTGACATGACTTATTATGTATCATTTTGTCTCAGCACTGTAGTGCAAACCATAAGCCATCTGCAACTGGTTCAACTGGCCCTGGCTGTCAGTTTTAGAGGCTGCCATAATATTGCTGGACTTCTGCTGGCTGGCGAAACAACATTTCTTTGGTTTGATTTTCTTATGCTATTGCATCAGTAAGCTAATGTGCAAATAAATATTGTCATTTGATTGGTGACTTTGTGTGTACAGATGATGATCATGACAGCGCCTTCGGGTCCGTGGACTACTCCACTCCAACCACGTTCTCCCATGCTGACAGTATCGAGTCCAGTGGGGTAAGTTATTGCACCCTGGTCATTGGAACATATTGGGCTGAAAGGTTATACAATGTATGGAGGATATTTAGCGTCTCTGACAAATATGCTGTTTATCTCATCTCATGAGGTTGTTAGAATTGATCTTTCCACCTCACATATGTCAATTCTAACTACCGGCATTTTACTTGGTAAACATCAATAAATATTTTATGTATTATATGATCCAAGCTGTTTTTGCATGTAGTTGCATGAGAAGTTGAACAGATTCCATTATGGATTGTATTGGGTAAGTATGTAATACACACTTAGGTCACAAACATGAAAAGTTATAACCGTTCAGGGTTGTATCTTGACCTATCTTTCAATATACAGGTATAGCTTTCTGGATCCAATGTGACATTTGTGCTTATTGCCGATCAAACAATCAAGAACCCTGCATTATTTTAAATGACATAGACAAGTAGTATGTCTATTTATTGGAGAAATCATTAGAATCCGAAGATTCTGGAAGTTAGAATGATTTCTCCAACTTAGTTCATAATTTATGGCTAGGGGGTAGGATGAGGCTTTTAAGAAGGGGGTGGGGGCATGTTTTTGGGATGTAGGGGTGACAAAATTATTAACAGTTCCTTTTGATATATTATGGTTTGTATATCGTTTCTGTACAGTTAGCATGGCGGTCAGAATGGCCAGTGAAATCATGGCCCAGTCAGTTGCAATAACAATAGCATGACTTTATCATGGTAATAAAAGTAGCTAGTGAAAATCTGTGGGATTATGTCAAGGTTAGATTTGTTGATTATACAAAGTAAGGAAGTTTTTCAAGCATTTTGAGTACTTATTGATTATTGAGTGTTATATAATTAATCCTTTTCCTAGTCCAAATTATGAATTGTTATGGTTTTGTCATACTTAAATATTCCATTACCACTTACTTATCAGTAATATCTTTGATTCTTGAGACAAGAAAGTATTACTTTTTAAAAGTCACTATAATATAAAACTATAGATTGATTTTTTTTTCATATGCATATATTGTATCATAAACTAGTTTAAAGTAAATGTAACAGCAATATTGTGTGGTTGCATCTCGCAGTAATTAACCTTACTCAAATATGTCCTTTCCTTAGCATCACTGGCCTCCCTTTGGTATTATGTTCAGCATGCACAAGCAGACTATATTGTTCAGTCACACTATATATTTATATCCCATCCATATCCAATCTGGGTACCATACAGCAGAGGCATTGTGTGAGATGATAAGGAAGTTATGTGTGTGGTGTCATTGTCTTAGTAGATGTATTCCGGGTTACTACTACAAGGAATGTATGTAGTACTTGAACTGACCCGACATGGACGTGGAAGTGTTAGGGAACATGGCTGAATATACCTTGATTGAAACTTTGATAAGAAGAGTAAGTGTTTCTTATTCTCATGTCCGTGCTGTTTAAAGAAACTTGTTGCATGTTTATATGATGATTTTGCATACATTTGCATACCAAATTTTTTATCCATCTTTGAATAATTTCCTTGATAGTTCAAAATATGTACGGACGACAATGAATAGGATATACAGTAAACTGCATTGCTAGTTTTTGTTCGCTATTACCTAAGTTTACGGAATTTGTATCAGGTATCAGTGATCCGAGTCTGTGACTGGCTTCATTATGTTGTGCCATCTTACCCACATGATGATGTTACCCGTGAAGGTCCGGGTTAGAATGTTGATCTTCAGGAACCCATGCTTGCCGTAAGAGCTGAATAACGGGATCGGGTGGTCAGGCTCGCTGACTTAGTTGACACATGTCTTGGTTCCCAATTGCGCAGATCGATGCTCATGCTGTTGATTATTGGATTGTCTGGCCCAAACTCGATTATTTACAGACCGTCGCCATATAGCTGGAATATTGCTGAGTGCGGCATAAAACTCAACACTTTCACTCACATGATGATGTGGACTTTTGCTCATAACATCAGCCACTGGATTGTCAAGTTTAGACTTGATACTGACAGGGTGCCATCAAGAGAAATATTCCTGAGTCTGACATTGTACAACAAGGAAACAAATACAAAATTGGTTTCAGTAAACTGTTTAACAGATTTGTGAAATACCCAGACACACTTGCTGCATGGACTGCAGGTCTGTTCATACTGAATTGTCAAAAGTAATGAAAACTACTCACCATTTACAGAGTTTTCAGTATAGCTGATGTTGATATACCAATGAGATGTATATTCTATCAACAGCTTCCAGGGGGGCTGCAGATCCCGAGTCCAGGACATAAAAGGTCAGGGTCGAATGTCTCTAACCGATCACTAATGTACGAAGAAGAGGAAGAAGGTACGTAAATCATTAAAGTTGTATTTTGTTTAATTTAAATGATAAAAGAGTGCGTTTTAACCAATCATAGCTTGATAATATGTCGGACAGTTTAGTTTGCACTCTGTTCATTTCCTGGTTTCAGTAATGAATTTGAAACTTCCCAGTAAGGAAATAATAAAGACCCTGACTAATAAGGAGTTATCTTGGCTACACTTTCATAGTGCACTGTTAGTTGATATTTCTGGATGATGAGGGTATGTATGTTGTAGATAGTAATTAATTGTATCTTTCTGTAACTCCAAGATTGTATAGTGTGTTCATTGCAAGGTGTTTATTGGAAGGAATTGTTTTTAGTCTGTAATTTGGAAGAATAGTGTGAGTGGTGTACTTATTTATCCCAATTTTGCAGACTTATATTTATTTAGGGGCATCGTTTAGTTAACAAATGTTGTGTCTCACAGGGATAGAAATGATCTCTGAGCCATGAGCTGAGTGTGCTTGTTAAATGATAAAAGTATCAGAAGGGCTTCCATAATTTCAAGTGTTACTAGTAATAGCACTTCATGTTTATAGTTAGTTATATAAGTTTTTATAAGTAAACTGTGTACCAGTGTCTTTGCGTGTTATCGCTGTTCAGTAGACTTGTAATTAATTTCTGCCCTTCTATATTTATCTCACACAGAATGTATAACATTAGGTTGTGGGCTGTATATGGAGGGGAGATGTAATGATACACTGAGGCAGCAATATGACATTTATCTTGATATTGGTGTAATGCGATTTGTATCCCGATACAGTACTTTCATTTCAAAATTCATATTCTCTCCCATTCTGCAGGTGAATCACAACCCTGATTCATTTGTTTTTACATCTCAGAATGTGGAGATGGGATACTGGACAGGAAGAAACATATCAGCTTGGGTGCACTGTACAGATTCTGCTGTTTATAGCCAACCAGTCATCATGATATGGCTGAAATAGTGCCGATGTGAAGTAAAATTTTAACTCTCACTATAGCCAACCAGGAAATGCTAGAAAATCTGCATAAACTGGTTCCTCGTATTGCAATACAGTGTTGTACATTGTTATTGTAACATCACAAGTCACATATTTCTAGATATTATTTGACTATTTGTAAATGCTGGCATTGTTTGTTTTCAGGAGATACTGGTCTTTGTTGACCCTCCAAACAAGAAGTTATTTTGTCGTAGCTCATGTGGGGTATGTTACCTGTACATTAACCTGCTTTCAATGTGGGCTTTCAAGGATCCTGTGATAGCATCATGTGGGGTATGTTACTTGAGTTATAGAAGCTGAGGTGTTGTGCCTACCCTGTACATTAACCTGGTTTGTGATAGCATCATGTGGGGTATGTTACTTGAGTTATAGAAGCTGAGACGTTGTGCCTACCCTGTACATTAACCTGGTTTGTGATAGCATCATGTGGGGTATGTTACTTGAGTTATAGAAGCTGAGGCGTTGTGCCTACCCTGTTTGTGACATTAACCTGGTTTGTGATAGCATCATGTGGTTTGTGATAGCATCATGTGGGGTATGTTACTTGAGTTATAGAAGCTGAGGCGTTGTGCCTACCCTGTACATTAACCTGGTTTGTGATAGCATCATGTGGGGTATGTTACTTGAGTTATAGAAGCTGAGACGTTGTGCCTACCCTGTACATTAACCTGGTTTGTGATAGCATCATGTGGGGTATGTTACTTGAGTTATAGAAGCTGAGATGTTGTGTCAGTGGCAGCAACAGACTTGTACATTAACCTGGTTTGGGATAGCAGAAATAGTCATTTGTCAGGGGTAGACACATACATAAGTCTGTCTAGGTAGCCTCGTGGTTAAAGCATTTGCTCATCACACTGAAGTCATGAGTTTAATGCCCTATATGGGTACAATGTGAGAAGGCCATTTCTGGTGTCCCCTGCTCTGATGTTGCTGAAATATTGCTATAAGCAGCATAAAACCTCACGCACTCACTCACTCACTCACTTACTGTGAGCCCATGTTTGTTTAAATCCACTGGACGTAGTTGTTGTCTACTAAAATCTAGGTGTTCTACAGAAACCACTAGTCTGAAATGAAATTCTGATTTGACTAATGGTTTCAACCCCTGTCAGTGTATGTGATTTGAAACTAATGGAGGTCCATACAGTCTCCCCGATTCTGAAGCAACATATTTCCTAAATCTTAAGTTATGTTATTATGAGGTGCTCAGAGGAACTTTACAAGGACCCTGACCTTCATGCTTGGTATGAAACGCTGTACACCATAATACCCGCAGAATGTGTTCAGTTGGTCTACACAGTGAACCGGGGTGTTGGGTCACCCAGTGGTGGAAGTGTTAGTTCATAATGCTGAAGACCTGGGTTTGATCCCCCCACATGTGAGCAGTGTGTGAAGCACATACTTGCTTTGCCTTGCATGACGTGGCAGTAGAACTGTCATTAGTTGTGTAAACCCAACTCACTCACTTTCAACATGTGAATCTAATTTGTGCTCAACTTTTTTCTTATGTGTCAAGTAAAAACATGTGAATAGTCTATTATTGCCAAATATCCTGTGAAGATCCGGGTTAGAATTGATTATCAGAAATCCATGCTTGTCGTAAGAGGTGACTAACGGGATCGGGTGGTTGGGTGTAACTGATGCTCATGATGTTGATCACTGATTACAGACCGCCGCCATATAGCTTGAATATTGCTGAGTGCGGCGTAAAACTAAACTCACTCACTCACTTAATAATATGCTTATTGTAATCTATATCATTCTTCATAGAAATTTCTATTTTCAGCATACATATTGTCGGAAATGCATCGATGGAAATACAGATGGTTTGTATTATTTTATTATGCTTTTCCATTAAAATATTCAGTGAAATACCAGTATTATATTTTCCAAATGTTTTGTAATAAAAGTGTTAAGACCTGAGACGTGACAAAGCAGCTGCATGTGAATCATATTAAGGAAAGGTTTTTCCTGTATTTGACAAGCAACAATGCTGCTTTACTTTGTTTTTCATACCCTCTGATAATTGAACATCGTTCTCAGGCTTGTGCCAAGTGGAAAAAAAGGCTTTTGGTGACCTATGTATAAATTTGATTGACCAATATACAAGGTCAGGGTCACAGTGATATATGTCTTCCATTAAAATGTCATCTGCAGATTAAAGTCCAATTCATGAAGTTGTAACATGATGAAGTTGCTTGAGGTGTTTCCTTGAAATCTGAGCTATCCTGCTGCAACCACAACAGGTTTTGTCAACCTCACACTTATGGACTGTGTGGAATTTGATGAAAGTTAAGCACATGGTCTCTGGCCAGTTCATATCTGAAATGACCCGTGAAGGTCCGGGTTAGAATATTGATCTTCAGTAACCCATGCTTGTCGTAATAGTCTGGTCGGATGGGTACAGTATTCAAGTCCCGTGAAGATCCGGGGTAGAATAGGTCTTCAGCAACCCATGCTTGCCACAAAAGGCTACTATGCTTGTGGTAAAGGCGACTAACGGGATCAGGTGGTCAGGCTCGCTGACTTGGTTGACACATGTCATCAGTTCCAAATTGCGCAGATCAATGCTGATGCTGTTGATCACTGGATTGTCTGGTCCTGTCTCGATTATTTACAGACCGCCGCCATATATATTGCTGAGTGTGGCATAAAACTAAACTCACTCATATCTGAAATTGTAGGGCTTACATAAAACATACTTACCAATGTGAATATGGTATGAATGCATATTGCCCTCCAACTGTTGGGTTTTCCTGAACCAAATTGGTAGTCACCACACTGTATCAGAACAAAACTACAAAACTGGGGCCCAAATTATGTATTTTCAGCATCCTATCAGGCCATTTGGGGGTCCAGTAAAGTGATGTCATAGTGTAGTGTACTGTACTTTAATATGTAATAGTTGCATCTGTAACAGATCAAGCACATTTTGCTTAAATGTGTTTACTTTTCCCATATTATACAACGTTTTTATGACGATGTTCCTACTTTATGTGAACTTTTTAAAAAGGTTTCTAACCACTTGATTTTTAAAAGACATCAAACTGTATGACATCAAACTGTATCCTTGTTCAAAAATGACGTTCATCTGTGCCAAATTCTTCCAATTCCAGTGCTTGTCGCAAATAGCTGGAATATTGCTGATGCGTCGTAAAGAATATTCATTCATTCTTTTTTTCAATTCCATTGATTACAGTGTTCTAAGACATTATTTCGTGTATTGTGTCTGCAGTAATCTGTCCTGTGGATAGTCAGAAGTTGTCTATCATGGTGTCCAACATCGCAGTGTCGGAGCAGATTGGGGAGATGTACATACATTGTAAATATGGCTGCAAGCTGGCCGAGGATGACCAGACCTATATTGTAGACCCGACCAGGTGCCCTGTCACGGTGAAGATCAACACTAGAAGGTGAGACATATATTTCCTATATAGTCTTGTTACATTTTGACCAAAACACTGTGGAAATGCAAGTTATGGTGACAGTATGGACAAATTATTACATACACAATGTAAACTGTCTCATTAAGAATATGCCAACTGATGTTGAAGAAAACTGGGGGTAGTGTTTTGTTATTTTGAAGGGTGTCTTGACCTTAACTCAGGGGTGGAAATAACCCATTGCCCGACGTCCGAGTCCAGTGTTTTTTTTCTGTCGGGCAAGCACATTTGTATATTACGCTGTACTGGTGTCCAGTTGACATTCCAATGTTAATTATGTGGTTTGTTTAAAAAATCACCAAGAAAATTGGCCGGTAGAGCGAAAATTTTTCCGAACAAGTGATTTTACATGTGCCACTGTACCGAGTACACTAGCAAGTTTAAGTTATTTCCACCCCTGTAACTGATCAATATATTTGCTTCATATCATTCCCATTAAAATGCAAAAGTACCCAGACAATCAGAGAAGAATATACTCATAATAGTTTTGAAATTAACTTTTTATCAACATTGCATTTTAAAAGTGTTTCGGGGTAGATGCCCTTCACACCAGAGCATATTGATAAATCATTAGTACCATTCATAACTTGGGTGTTCTTTTCATTCAGTTTGTAAGCTTTTAGCAAACATTTGATTCAGACTTGTAGAGACACCAGTCTAATGGGCCACATTTCCTTGATGTGCCCTTTGGCACACCAGAAACCTAATGTATTGGATTCAAACCCCAATTGCTAGGTTTTCCAGCACCATACCTTCGCTTATGAGTTTCACCAACGTGGTTTACATCTCACACCAGGGCCCCATTCCACAAAACAATCGTACCGCTAAGGTGATCGTAACTCCCATACTTTAACATAGACTTGTGACTGTCATAGTGCTACGATCGCTTTGAGGAATGGGGCCCTGATGTTACCTTATGCTCTCATCCCACTTGAAGTTGACATGCCATGATATAACTGGAATACTGTTACTCATTCCTGACCATTCTGGGGCGGTGGGGTAGTCTAGTGGTTTAAGCATTGGCTCGTCACGCCGAAGACCCGGGGTCGAATCCCCACATGGGTACAATGAGTGAAGCCCATTTCTGGTGTCCCCCGCTGTGATATTGCTGGAATATTGCTAAAAGCGGCGTAAACCAAACTCAGTCAGTTAGTCCTGACCATTCTCTATTGTATGTGATAAACAAGGAGAGCTGCATCGCAACATGATCGTTGTGCAGGGATCATGTGTAGAAAGGTAATCACTGCACGGACAACATGTTCTGAAAGAGGAGGCCTATCAGGTGTATTGAGGCTTACTTCTAGCTATCAATATACTTTGTGCTGCAAGTTAATAAGGATTTGTGAAACAGTTGATGCTTGCAAGAATAGGATACTCCCTAGGAGGACAAACCCCCATTGGCAACTCACAGCTCAGCTCCATCTGAAACTCAATTTGCAACATCTTGCTTCTCACTGTGCAGTATTGTGCCCATCAGCACTGTACCCATATCGTGGATTAAGATTAAGTAATACATATGTGATCTTTGGAACTTTAGCTTTCGTTGTCCTAATGGGAAGTCTAGTGACCTGATGTCCTGACCTGTTGGTCTATCATGGGGTGTCAACGTCTTCTCCTTTGGAACCACTTGAGCATTGAAGCTGGAATGTCACTTGCGTGTTATTCCAATGGTAATAGCTCAAATGTATTGACATGTTCGAATCCAATTTTCAGTATGGCCCCACAGCATTCTTAAAGCAATTATTGATGTAAATTCTTGTGTGTAACACTTATGTTAGCTTTGGTACTGGCATAGAGGCACTGTGAAAATATGTCCTAATTTCTTGTTCCTTTTTGCCACAGGAATAAAAATTCTCTCATAATTTGAATTCTTGGCTGTGTAACTGCCTTTTATTTGAACTATCCATATCTGAACTTGAACTTTGGAATATTTCTGCCTTTGCTCATGTCATGTTCTACTCAGTGTTTATACAGAAAATAGGTGACCCAAATACTGACAGCAACTTTTGTTAAGTGGCTCTCATTAATGATTATGTTTCGTGTTAACTTCAAATGGAGGTGAGCCACAGTCCCATACATTTTCAACATTCTTTATGACTCCTATTCTAACAACTGTGAACTGTTAGTGTGTAACGGTACCAAGATTGTACCAAGAGGATGTTCTGTGGAGGAGGGGCGGCAGATGAGCCTAGTGATTAAAGCGTTAGCTCATCACACCAAAGACCCGGGTTCGATTCCCTACATGGATACAATGCTTGAACCCCATTTCTGGTGTCCCCCTCCATGATATTGCTGGAATATTGCTAAAAGCGGAGTAGAACCACACTCACTCACTGATTTTCCCATTATTTGATGACTGTAATGACTTATGTTGTTTTCAAACAAATACAATGTTTGAATTCCATGTCTGGTGTCCCTTGTCATGACATTCATGGAATGTGTCTAAAAGCATTGTAAAACCATTAAAACCACACTCACTCACTCACTCACTCACTCACTCACTCACTCACTCACTCACTCACTCACTCACTCACTCACTCACTCACTCACTCTTGATCTCAGCCTCTGTTTCATCCTTGTTATCTCTATTTCAAGGGTAGTAAGTGCAAAAAGAATTTCTTATAAATGTGCAGAAAATTCGATTGACAGTGTTCTTTTGTAAAGACCAACCATACCTGAGGTTTATCTGCAAGCACTTTAAACTGTCAATTATGGCTCAAACACCCCAATGTCCTTGCTTTTATGAAGAGATTAATCCAATAAATCTCCCAAACCAGTACTTTATTTTTTTCAATATGTATTCACCGAGCTGTTAAACCAGCTGGAAGTTTTGAAGTGAGTTTTTGAAGGGTTACACGTGAAGCTTGTCATCGAAGATGATCGTAAATCTGGTAGAATGTGTGAAATGAGCATACTGTGCCAAGCCGAGCTTGAGAATCAATTTGCCCACTCACACGTCCCCCTCAACAATGCTATTAGGTCTTTATCACCCGACACCACTATCGCAGACTATTAACAGCCTGCTCCACATGTCGGCATGACCCTTGCTGGTGCTGACCCAAGGTGGATGTAGTTAACTGCTCATTGTAGTTACAGACTGTTTATGCATACTTAGTGTGCGATGGTTGAAAAAAATGGACATTTTGTCTTAAATTTGGGCTGTTTATATGATCTAAAAATGAGGTGATTAGTGTAAATTTGTTTTGGGTATACTGGTATTCATATAAAAACTGAGAAATGAATGGGAGTTTGTCTGTAAACTGTCTGGTTGAAGACATCAGGCGTGTCTGCACATCAAGAGTCAACATATTGTTTTCAACAAATCACTAAAATGAAGCCATGCAGGCAATAAAAGGACTAAAACCGGAAAAAGTCAAACTACAAAAGATAGGGCGTTAGATTTTATTTTAACATGAATGAATGGGTCTGGTAGTCAGGTGTATAATGACAGTGTAGGAAAGATAGCCCGTCCCAACGTCCGAGACGGGTGAATTTTGTGGAGGACTGGTTAAAAAAATATCTAGTCCGTCCTCATGTCGGGTCAATTTTAGCAAACCAATGACATATATATAATGATTATAACCTTTTTGAATATTTACTGCCGAAGGTGTTTTATTTATATTTGGAGGACAGGCTAGATTTTGGCAGGACTGGTAAAAAATTTGACCTGCCAGTCCTGTGGACAGGCTAGATTTTCTACATCTTTCCTACACTGGTAATGATCTGGTTGTTTGTGGTTTATCTTACCCCTTTGTGTGATGGAGCTCATTATATCAGTCACTGGTTTGCTGAGTCCGTTTCTATTAGTTACAACTACAACCCACTTTTTACAGATGATTGTAACAGAAAACAAAAAATGAAATTGGGTGGTTGATCATTTTGTGCAACTGGTTTTGTGTCATTCTGGCATGTCAAAAGTAATCAACTGCTGTTGAGTACAAATCAAATAGCATTTAGATACACATAATACCATGGTCCTAAATATTATTCGTATGCTCACAAACTTTCTATGATGAAATTCTCAGTGTCTTCAGCAGGTACAGCAGTGTTGTTGAGTTGGTCCATGTATCCTATTGGTTTTCAGAGTTGAGTTGGTCCTATATTACATAGGTTTCCCTTGTTGTGTTTGCCTTTTCGTCAATGGGTTTTCGTAGTTGATTGGTCCGTGTATCCCATTGGTTTTCAGAGTTGAGTTGTCCTTTGTCATTGGGTTTTCTTAGTTGATTTAGTCCCTGTATCCCACTGGTGTTTAGAGTCGAGTTTGACATTGTTTCCTGTGAGTATTCGGTGTTTAGAGTCGAGTTTGACATTGTTTCCTGTGAGTATTCGGTGTTTAGAGTCGAGTTTGACATTGTTTCCTGTGAGTATTCAGTGTTTAGAGTTGAGTTTGACATTGTTTCCTGTGAGTATTCGGTGTTTAGAGTCGAGTTTGACATTGTTTCCTGTGAGTATTCGGTGTTTAGAGTTGAGTTTGACATTGTTTCCTGTGTATTCAGTATTCATTGTTTCCTGTGGTGTTTAGAGTCGAGTTTGACATTGTTTCCTGTGAGTATTCGGTGTTGAGTCGAGTTTGACATTGTTTCCTGTGAGTATTCGGTGTTTAGAGTCGAGTTTGACATTGTTTCCTGTGAGTATTCGGTGTTGAGTCGAGTTTGACATTGTTTCCAGTGAGTATTCGGTGTTGAGAGTCGAGTTTGACATTGTTTCCTGTGAGTATTCGGTGTTTAGAGTCGAGTTTGACATTGTTTCCTGTGAGTATTCGGTGTTTAGAGTCGAGTTTGACATTGTTTCCTGTGAGTATTCGGTGTTTAGAGTCGAGTTTGACATTGTTTCCTGTGAGTATTCGGTGTTTAGAGTTGAGTTTGACATTGTTTCCTGTAAGTATTCGGTGTTCGAGTTTGACATTGTTTCCTGTGAGTAGTCGAGTTTCGAGTTTGACATTGTTTCCTGTGAGTATTCGGTGTTTAGAG